CTGTTCAAGCCGTTGATAGAATTAGGATCTTTTGATTATGTTAAAAAAAGAGTTTGGCTGTTTTCATCAAGTTTGACCATAGATATGCCCTATTACATGTCAAAATTTTGATTTTTCAAAGTTTCAATTTTAAGATATATTACGGCATTCGAATAATTGACTTTCTATGTTGCAGAATAATATTTTAAACACTTTAAACCAACTATATGCATGTAAAAATCACAAAAAGAAGTATGGCCATAGTCATAAATTTTTCGGTTTTTTCAAAAAATCAATAATCCAATCAATGGGAAAAAAACCAAAAAAAATTTTTTCCAAAAGATCAATAAATTGTCTATGTATTGCTTTTAAATCTAAGCAAACGAACAAAAACAGACAAAGTTATGATTTTTTTGAAAAGATAGCCATTTTTTTGGTACGTTTTGGGCCATAACTCCCCAAAAAAATTTTTTATCAACTATTCCTTTTGGATTCTAAAATAACTTTTTACGCTCTTTCCAATCATCTAGGTCTCAATTTTTTTCAAGGGTAACACTTGGGAGTCATTCCATGTAAGTAAAAAGTATAATTTTAAAAAAAGTATAAAAAAGTATAATAAGTATAAGTAAAAAAAAAAGTATAATAAGTATAAGTATAAGTAAGTTTGAATCTTATAAACCCCACCTTAAACATCTCTTTAATTCTATTCATTCCAATTATATTTTTTTGAACCCTATAAGCTCTCTGTCATGACCCCTTACCAGACAATCCCTCACGATAATCGGCTACAATGAGCATAATAGGAAGTGGATCGACAGCCGGATACATTGAATAGAATATGGTGACTAAGAAACTGGCCGGTTCGAAATCCAAATGAATCAACGGAGCAGTGAATATGAGTCCAATTGGGATGAATAGGAACGTTATTGGAATGAACGCCTGAAAAGAAATTTTGTTTTTTAAAAACGGAAGTAGCCTGAACAATTCGGAGTTTTCAGCAGTTTTACTTAGAATGAGAACATTTGCTGGATTAAAGAAACAATGAAAAAACCTTGTGATATCCGGAGTTTCCATGTTTCAGGAGTTTTGAGAAACCAATTTTTTAGTGCTTCAATAGTATGATGAAAATGGAATGGTTTTCTTCTCACCAATAATGAGCGAACTTCTCTTTAAAATAGTTTTTTTTCTATTATAGATTAAACTTTGATTGACAATCATACATTTTTAGTGTTTCACATTTTTGTAATGAATGAAACTCTTTTGTTTTATCTAATAAGTGACCAAATTTCGTTATGAAATGCAATATTTAGGGGGCCCAAATAAAATTCATTTTGAAAAGGTATAAATTATAAATCATATATTGTTTTGTGTCATAGAAAACCGATCAATTTGTATATCAATGTGCAAATGATCATTAACAAACCTTGGAAAATTGATGAATTTTGAAAAAAAATTCCGAAAAGATGGACATTATCCAATTGGTCGACATTAATAAGCTTCGAAGTTTTTTTCGGTTTCGAAAAGTGCTCAAACATTTAAGAAGAATTTTTTAAATTTAACTTATTAGTCGTTTTGGAAAATTTGTTAACTCCTTCGAGGAGTTCATCTTGTGGGCCAAATATTGGAGTTACGCGGCCACATGTTCCGGCTGCCGAACGAAAGATACGGTAGCCACATGCAAAAATTCCTACTCTTGCTCTCCACTTTTAATGAACTTCGACTTTTTATCGGTTTCTTAAAGTACTCAAAAACGGACATGGTTTTTTTTACTTTAATTGCTCTGACTATCACACTAAAACTCATTTCAAAACTAATCAAGATTTATCACATACCTGAGCAACCAACGCCTTGAACAATTGCGACTGTAGTTTGTAGGTGTACTCGGATTCTCCGTGCTGGGGAAGGGCTCGAACGAGTTTGTAGCTTTTTACACCGAATATCACCACTGTCCAAAATGTTGTGCTCTGCAATTTTTGTGGTGATAATATAATTGATTTTGAATAAAATTTGGGTGAAAGTAAAATGTTGAGAAACAGTTTTGATTTTGACTAATTAAAGATGATTGGGTATGGAAAGTTTGACTTCGTTTACCTAGGTTTCTATAAGAGATATAAAATGTAATCAACTGATAAAATATTTATCATAATATCAGCAACATTTTATCAGTTGACCACATTCCATTATCTTTCATAGGAAACAAAAGAAATAGGGTCAAAGTTAGGGCGCCCCTCTATTAGCTGTGATGAAGTTCTACAAGACAAACCAGGAAAACCCAATCAATAAGTTCCAAATTTTCATTCTTTAGTTTTAGAAAAGTAATAAAACAGGAATATTTTTGAAAAAAAAACCAAAAAAACTTACCAATATAAAACCAAAGAGAAAAAATCCAATCAACTGTTTATAATCTAATTGCGGAATTCCATTCTCATCAGGAGGATAGAATAGACATCCAACATAGGTGATATCGGTCACATTGATACCGTAGTTGGAGAATACGGTATCACTGAAAGCTTAAATATAATTTCTAGCAGTGTGATAGAAGCACTAATCAAAAATAAACCATAGATGTGATAAACTTGAGAAAGTAATTTTCGATTATTTATTTTTTGATTTTTCACACATTCCGATAAATTCAAGTGTTCAATTTTTTGATTTGTTGGGGAAATACGGTACCACTGACATTTTAAATTGAGTTCATGTTATATTAAATGAAAATGAACTACCCAATAAAGGAACAAGTTTGAAAAAGAAATTATTCAAAAAATTCCAGATTCTCAAATAATTTGAATGTTTCTGTGAATTACTTAGGAGAACATTTACCTTATATATTCCGACATTTTGTCATTTGGAACCAGAAAAATCCAATCTTGAATTATCCAAACTGCTCCAGTAATGGATGGAACCAGAAACCAGATGATTAGCCATTTTCCACGAAAATACGAAATTCTGCCTTTTCTGAAAAAAAAACGATTTTCAAGATTTGAAACTAAAAGTTTCCATAAAATTTCAACTTGTCATAAATAATGAATTTGAAATATAATGTTTTATGTTTTCAAAATTTCCTGAATTAAATTTCTAATACGAATGAAGCGTTTTTGAAACTTTGGATTGTTGGGAACTGGTCTTTTTTGGTTCTTTTTTAAATCCACTATTTACATGAACACTTGATTTTTTCGAAAACTTTCAGAGTTTCCCATTTCCTTCCCAAGTTATTTGAAAAAAATTTCGAAAAAATCCATGTTTCAAATCATTCATTTCCATGGATAGTTTTACTTTCCGTGTTTTTCTTTACCTCTCCATAGCAAAATATCGGAAAACAAACTGAATACTGATTGTCGTTATTGAAATGGCAAAACAACCACAAAGAAGAGCTGGAAAATATATCTATTGCACTTTTTTAGGATCTTCTAAATCTTCACTTACTTGTCAATAAGTAAGCAAATTTCGGAGCAAACTTCAAATGTCGGAGCTCCATCATCATAAACATTGCTGAGCCGTGACTGTGGATGTACTGAAACATAATAAAAAAGATATATTGACAGAACAAGTTTGGATTGATTTTTGAAATGTTTTGGAAACATAAAAAAATTGGAGTTTTCGATTCTGGTATTTGCCAAAATTTTCCCAAAATTCGGACAAATTAAAAGTTTCAAAAAATATTCGTGCACTTTTCAAACATCCATCAATCCATATTGAAATAGTCTTTTATGAACTTTGGAATTCAAACAAAAAACTGATTTTTTCTCAAAGTTTTCAAAAGTTTTCTGTTTCATCATTTTCATGAAAATATGAAATTTCGAATTTTATCCATTGGCACTGCAATTGAAAGTTTCAACTTTGAGCCCATTTATCTCGATTTCTGTGAAAGATATCAAAAAGTGGTCATTAAAATGTTACTGATAACATGATAAAAATTTTATCAGTTGACCACTTTTTGATAACTTTCACAGAAAATGAGATAAATGAGCTCAAAGTTAAAAGTTATGGATCTTTCGTCTGCTTACCGGCTCCACAATAATATCCAAAATTGAAAAGAAGATCGAGAAACAGCAAAAATAGACCAGCAAATATTTATAGCTTCCCATTTTCTTCGGTGACTTGTTTAGAATCAAAAAGATCAAAACAAAATTACAGACGAGTGACACCAAGAAGGAAATCAATTGGATACTGTACTTGATTTTTCCAAACAGCATTTTTTAAAAATTTTTCAGATGTTATTGAGGGAGGATTGAGTAAAAAGAGAATAGTCAGAATAATATCACAAGATACTGAATTGTAGTGTGTGAAAAATATAATGATTTGGTCTCTTGAGGCAGATGAGCAATGGGAAATGTAGATTAATCAAAAAATGTTTTGTTCAGATGAGCCTAGACTTCCGCTCATGTGGTTTGGGTTATAATAAGTGGGTGTTGATAATCTGTATTTATGAATAAAAGGACTTTGAAAATTGAAAGGATGGGATTAGCTAGAGTGGATTAGGATGTGCAAAAAAAAGGGTTCAAAAGACAAAAAATAATGATCACTCATTTTTTGGAATGATTTTTTGAACTATGTAGCCATGTAGAAATATGTAGCCGGTCAAAAAAGAAAGGATAAAAAGAGGGACCCTAACTTTAACCTATGTTTTTCGTTTCCTGTAAAAGATATCAAAAAGTTGTCAACTGATAAAATGTTTATCAAAATATCAAAAACATTCTATTTGTTGACCACTTTTTGATATCTTTCACAGGAATCGAGATAAAATTGTTTGAAGTGCCCTTCTATTGGAGATAAGCGGTATTGCGGACAGTTGGGATTTTTTTTAATTGGGATGGATTCAAAGAATATGACTTTCATGAAACAGAGAAAAACGATGCCGAAAATTTTGCTCCATTAATTCGAAGAGATCTCCTTTAAAGCAATTAATTTCTGAAATGTTCTAAACGATCTAACATTCACTGTTCCAATGTCATTTTTTATTTGGTGGTACTTGCAAGATGAGCAATTTGAAAGAAACTTTTTTTTCAAAGTGTTTGTCTCTCAGAACGCTAAATTGATTTCCGAATTTTCTGAAATCCATGTAGATTCCCATAAAAGCAAAGAAAAAATTCAACAAAAAATCCTTCATTGAGAAAAACGGCATCGAAAAGTCAAAGTGGGAACCGGTGGCCTTGCGGCCAGGTGTGGGTTTTCTAGGCCAACTGCCGTTAAAAGCGCGCGAAATTCGAATTTTTATTGATTTTTAGTGTTTCCTTTTTCGAAATTCGAATTTTATTGATTTTTAGTGTTTTCTCTGATGTTTTTTGAAGATTTCAAAATGTTTTTGTTAATTTCCTCCCAGGTGTATGGAAAAACCTGACAAAAATCAGAGAAAACACTGAAAATCAATAAAAACTCGAATTTCGCGCGCTTTTACCGGCAGTTGGCCTAGAAAACTCACACCTGGCCGCTAGGCCACCGGTTCCCACTTTGACTTTTCGATGCCGTTTTTCTCAATGAAGGATTTTTTTTTGAATTTTTTCTTTGCTTTTATGGGAATGTACATCGATTTCTGCACAAAAGCAATAACATTTTTCACCGCACACCACCTTTAAATATCACAAAATGTTCAAGTGTTCAATGATTTGAATTTTATGAAAAAAATACAACTAAGTTTAGAATCTCATCATTTCACTGTGATCCAATTTACAAAGTGATCATGAATAGTTGAATAGTGATAGTTACCATACTTGTGACGGGCCGGGCCGGACCGGGCCGGGCTTTTTCCCGAATTTCGGAGGCCCGGCCCGGCCCGGCGGGCCTGTCATTCCACAAGTTTTGAAAATTTTAAAAAACACATAAGGGGGACCCTTATGTGATTTTTTTCGATCAAAAAATTTTTTTCGAGTTTTTAAAAATATTTTTTGATCAAACAGACAAACAATCCAAAAACACAAAAAATAATGGAGAAAATTGTATTGAGAGCTCAAAATTTGAAAAAAAACCGGAATTTTACAAGTATGATTGTTACAATAAAACTAACCACATAAGTAAGCTGAAAATCCAATGTGAATTCAAGCAATCTTCCTTATATACAAAATGCTAGACTTGGTGCTAGCGTCAGGCTGTCCAGTTTGGATTTTTAAATAAGAGTTAGGCGGTCGCCAAAACTGAAAAGCGAAAAGCCCCAGGCTTTTCGCACGACGACTGCGCACGCACCCAGTTGCGCCATGCGGACCACTACAGATGGCCGGTCATACATATACAATCTGACAGCATCTCCGTAAAAATGGCATGCAAATTTTTTTAATGTTTTGAAACATTCATATTCTTGAAGATTTTAGCCGGAATTCGAGTATTCAAAACATGTAGGATAGTCATTGCTCAAGCTTTCTGTTTTATCAAAATTTTATTCTCATTTCTTATGAAAGTAATATACCGTAAACACTCTAATAGAACGCCGCCCGGACCATCCACTTTGAGCCTAAATATCTCACTTCTTTTGAAAAATATCAAAAAGTTGTCAACAAAAAAAATTTTTATCATGATGTCAGCAACATTTTTTTAGTTAACCACTTTTTGATATCTCTTACAGGAAATGAGATAGATGTGTTCAAATTTGACGATTCGGGTGACGTTGTATCAGAGTGTTTACGGTAATCATAAACAAATTTTATAAACGATGAAATATTGAAAGTAGGAAGAACGGAATGTTTTTAAAACTTGGAGAAACAGTAAAAAAGGTTTTCGCAACTCCCAAAAGTATCACTGTCGGAAAAAAACTGGCACCTGAGAATTTGAAAACGGCCTTTTTTTTTTACTAACGACGTATATATTTTTTTCGAAATAAAATCCCTGGAAAGGTGCGATTTCCGAGTTCCCGACTCAAACAAACAAAGTTTTGGCAATTTTTGAAATCTTCTGTTTTATGACGTAGAGAAAAAAAGTTTGTTAATAATATTTCCACTTCACTAGCGAAACGTTCGACTACTGTATTCACGACTTTCAATTATTATTTATCTCTGTCAATGATGATAGCAGTTATATGAAAACAATGATTAATCATAGAAGTTTCCAAAAATTTAAAAAAATTTGATTTCAGGCCACATCCATTGTTGCGTCCACAGAAACCACTGATGCCACTTGATTTTTGGAAGTTCGAGGATTACAAATTGCTGAAAAAATGTTTCAGTTTCAGTTCAAATTACGGATATGATCGTGAACTAAATCCTAACTTTGAAATGAAAAAAAACTCACAAAAGAAGGAATTTCTGAAATCATCGATGAATAAAATAATTGGAATCGGGTCGACTGCTGGGTAGAGGGAGTAGAATAAAGTCACAATTATACTCCATTTTTCAATATTCAAATGAAATAATGGAGCAGAAAAAAGAATTCCGATTGGGAAGAATAGAAATGTCATTGGGATTATGGTCTGGAAAAATAATTTTTTAAAAGATTACTGTTCGGAAGTAAAGCTCTAGGAGATCGACCGCAGTCGGCCGCTTTAGGACCGCCGGTTCAGATACTATGATGTCTACAATATAAAATTTGAGAAACAGAAAACAGTTGATGTTTCAAGTTGTTTTTAAAACCTAATCCGATGCGTCTAAAACTTGTTACCATTAGATCTTTGGGTCCTACCTGAGCGACCAACGCTTTATACAATTGCATCTGAAGTCTCTTTGTATAATTTGACTCTCCGTGAGACATCAAGCGTTGAATTTTCATATAACTCTTGTATCCAAAAATGAGAATTGTGATGAATGGAATTATCTGGAAATTTGCGAATTTAAAGGAGGCCACATGAAAATTTTCAAAAGTCTAGTTTTTTGATATATGACACCGTACAGTCAGAAAATAACAAGGGACACCAAACCATAACTCCCTGTTACTGTACAAGCGAAAACGCGACCGTTTTCCAAGTGGCGCCCACTCCTCGTTTCATAATCGTTTTAGCGGCAGCAGCCGACAAGTCCTGTGTGGTGTAGAGGTGAGCGCGCTTGTCTATCAGTCGTGCATCGCGGGTTCGACTTCCAGATGTCCGTTTTCATTTTTTTTTCTGTTTTCATGCGGCGACATCCTAGAATGGCCGAATAACTAGAAAAAGTCGGGAATAGTTGTCTAACATTGAAGAAATTTAGTGTATACTAAAAAGAATAAATGCTCGTCAAGTAGCACGCATTGGGTCGCAATCGCGCGATTTTCCGTCAGAATACATTATCTCGCCCCGAGGAAACCCCGTAGACTTTCGTGTCTGGCCTCCTTTAACGAATCTCTTACAGCACTTACACAATAAAGCATAGTTGCAAAAGGCCGGGCCGGTAGACGAATTTTCTCGGCCCGGCCCGGGGCCGGCCCGCCTACCACAGTTGAAAAAATTCCAATGAAAATTTGGGTAATTTTTTTTTTGAAATAAAATGAAAAAAAGGTACATTATTAACCAAAATTACAAAGAAAGTATGCAATAAAGTTCGGCTCTTTTCTAGTTTAGAAGTCCCAAAAAAGAATAGAGGTCCGAAAAAAAATTAGAGGTCCCAAAATAAAATAGAGGTCTCAAATAAAATTAGAGGTCCCAAAAAAGTTTAGTGGTCCCAAGAAAAAATAGTGGTCCAAAACTTAAAAATGCACAGATACCGGAATAATGTACTAAAATTTGAATTGTGTAAGAATTTAAAGTTTTGAGGTCTTATAGCAAAATAATTGTTGATGATATATTTTATACTTCTAATAGGCTTAGGAATGCATATTTTCTGACAATTATCTAAGCCTGAGAGACAGCATAATCACGGAGTGATTACTGTATTGTCCAAATTTTCCTCATATGTAAATTGGGCTCATCGGCAAGATGCGAGAGAATTGGAGCTAAAATTGTTAGGAGTAGTCATGTCATCCTATAAGACCCTAAAACTCAAACTACTCGCACAGTTCAAATACTAGTACATTATTCCAACATCTGCGCGTTTTTCGTATTTTGGACCTCTATTTTTTCTTGGGACCTCTAAACTTTTTTTGGGACCTCTAAATTTTTTTGGGACCTCTATTTTATTTTGGGACCTCTAATTTTTTTCGGACCTCTAAATTTTTTTGGGACCTCTAAATTAGAAAAGAGCCTAAAGTTCTGTATAAAAACAACAATACTTTTGATAACATTTGGAAACAGTAAAAATCATACTTGTAATCCGGGCCTTTGCCGGTCCTTCGCGGGCCCTGCCATAACTTCTTTCAGAATCAATGTTTTTGAACCAACTCAATCAGGTATGATAGAGCTCCACGAGTACTAAAAACGGTTTTATTTGGAATACTGTATCTTGTCTATGAACAGAGTTACAGAGCAAAAGGAGCAAAAAAAGCAGGCCCGCCCCGGGCCTGCCGGGCCCTACGAGAAAAGCCACTTTATGATCTGCAACTTTGTTCATAGATAAGATACAGTATTCCAAATAATACCGTTTTGTAGAACTCGTGGAGTTCTATCATATCTGATTTAGTTGGTTCGAAAATATAGATTCTGAAAGAAATTATGGCAGGGCTCGCGAAGGATCGGCAAAGGCCCGGATTACAAGTATGGTAAAAATAAGGTTAGATGGTTTTCGAATGTTTTTCTCGGTTTCAGAAAACCGATATAATGACATTTTTTGAAAATAAGGTATTAATTTTCAAAAAACTTTTTGAAACGATGAAGCCGAAATGTTAAATTAGACAAATTTCGATATTTTTTCTCGGTTTCAGAAAGCCGAATTTACACCATTTTTTAAAAAGGAGGTACTAATTTCGATGAACCTGTTTTCAAAAAATAATTATATTCAAGCCCTTCAAAGAAGAAGTGGTGCTTCACATCTCGAAAGCTCAATTATCTCGGTTCCTATGAGAGATATCAAAACGTAGTAAACTAAAAAACTTTGGTGATATTATGATAACCATTTTACCTGTTGACATATTTTTTATATCTCTCATAGGAACCAAGATAATTGAACTCACAGAGTATTCTTTTACGGTATTCAGAATAAAATACCGAATTTTTGAAAAATTCTCCGAAACTTTTTCGGTTTCACTAAATTTCATTAATTTCAATAAAACTGCTCTCAAATCTTACAAGAGTGAATGTACACAGCATTTATCTAACTCTCACCATCAAAACATTCAATCCAAGTGCTCCCAACGAATTCTGAATACTCCAATTGACGATTCCATTCTGATCAATTCTATAGAAATATGATCCAGTGTAAGTGATATAATTTGCATCCAACTCGTAATTTAATTTTATACTTTCTCTGCAAATTTTCAAACTTAAAAACAAAGTTTAACGCCCTATTAGTAATCCAAAAGAGATATTGAGGCAAATTGGCAGTTTTGAGAAACAGAAAATAATTATTTCCGATTGTTACCTCAAATAATCAGTAAAATCTGGATCGGGATACATTGAGAACCAACACAAGAATACCCAGGAGAATCCAGCAGAAATTGGAATTGTGAACCAGAAAATGAGACGTTTTCCGGCGAAAAATCGGAGACGACCTTCTCTGAAAGTTTTTCAAAGCTACATGGTTGCAATCGGCACTACTGTATAGAAATAGAAAAAAAATAGTCGTATATCTCATTTAGATGAATTCTGACGGAAAAGTGGTCAACTACAAAAATGAAGCTCTATTTTTGTTTAGTACACTCTGAAATTTTCAGGCAAATCGAAAAATTTTGGAGCACTTTTTAAGAAGATCAAATTTGACTACTTTCTCTAAAAAAGTGAAACTAATATTTTTCTGACGCTCTTCTTTTGTCAATATTTTGGAACTGTGAATTTTATAATCATCTTTTTCTAATAATTTCCTTTACCTCTGTAATGCAAGGTATCGAAAAATGAAATTTATCGCAATTGCATAGATTGTGACACCGAAACAACCGGCGAGAGAGGCTGAAAGTTATATATAAATCTGAAAATGATTTTTTTTTTCGAAATTTTTTTGCAGTTTCATAATGCCTTGGTATCCGTTTTTGACGATAGATGCATTTTTCATATTTTTTTCATATTTTCATTTCTTTGAAAGCAGAGAACGCTCATCGAACGAAAAAAATTATTGGAAATTGAAAAATCGATACACAATCAAGAACTTTTTGAAACACTAATTTTTCAGAAACTCACCAACGAAGAAAAATGCAATTTCCCGAGTCAACGCACTTTCTCTCAAATCCATAATCATTGAAAAACTGGCACCATGACTGTGGATGTACTAAATATCAATTTTTGGAAAATCTTTTTTGATGGCCGAGTTTTTCCTTTTTTCTAGGCTATCCCTTACCGGCTGAATGATCCAATCCAAAATTGCATAAATCATGGAAAATATGGAAAAATAGCACATCAAATGTCGATAATTGCCCATTTTCTTTGACGATTTAGTGACAACGAGATAGATTAAAATTGAATTTATGATTAGAGAAAACGAGACGGTGAGAAATTGAATTCCAGATTTTACGATGCCAAATATCATTTCGTTCTGAAAAATGGTTTTTTTTTGAGAAAAATAGGTAAAGTAGATATTCCAAGAAAAATGCAATAGTGAAACGGATTACTGCGAATTTGAGGGATTAATTTTTTTTCAAATGATTGTTTCGAAAAAAAAGTGATATCAGAAATCCATTTTTTTTCCCAAGATGGGGACGTATGATCTTTGAGAAATGTGGGAAAAAAAGGAATAAAATGTGATATGTGATTATATGAATCATTAGGTGAGAATTGAGGAAGGAAATGGAATTTAAAGTGCAAAAAATTTTTGAAGGAACTTGAGTTACTAAATGTTCTTTGGATTATAATAGCCGTTAAATTTGAGTCAATTCAAAAATCTTCTAGGGTCTTCAAGTATCTTCTTACATTCTCCAGAATGTTCTCTGATCTTCTAGGATCTTCTAGACTGTTCTGAAAGTTAACATTCAAAAATTTGAGAAAGTTTATCCCAACCCGAACCATAACCGCATCAAACTCGATATAATTGAGAAACCCAAAAAAAGGGAATGAAACCGAAAAAATATTTTTTAGAAGACTCTAGATGTCCATCAGTTTCTTTTATACTTTACAAGCTAGACATACAGAATTCCCATGTGCAGAATTGAAACATTAATTTTACATCTTGTTATTCAATTTGAAAATCAAACAACTGGTGATTATTGCTCAAGATGAAATTACCGAGTAATGGGCAAACCACAAATCAGAAGCTAGATTTAGTTAACTGTGCAGAAAGCTAAACAGTTCGAATATCTTCGAAAAACTCAAAATTTCGAATTTAACGCAAAATTACTGTTTCAGGAACTACATAAGTTTTGCAAATTTTTTTCGTTTTCGATAAACTTGTGTTTACACATTTCTCTTACTATCGTTAGCCATTTATATCTATCGGCAAAGGTCAGAATTTGACCAAACTTTACGGTTTGGCGTGTTTTTCTTCATCATTTTTTTTCGAAATCGTATGTCGACACCATAATATCAATGAGACACTGCACACACTGTTTCAAAGTTGTGTTTCAAAATCCTTGAGAATATATTTCGATCTGAACGTTTCAGATTATACTAAAAAAATGAGAGCTTCAGTTTTGTAATTGTCAATTTCTTCACCAAATTCCATTCTGATGAAATACGTCATCTGTATTTGAAACAGTACCGAAAATACCAAATTTAACACTGAAATGAGAATTGTGAAACCGCTATCTCGTTTTGTTGGATTTGTGCGGAAAAATTTGTGAATTGAAATGAAGCTCTATTTTTGGTGGGGGTATACTTAAGTTTTCAGACATTTCAAAAAATGCAAGAATACCTTTTCACGGCTTCAGAGTTAAATAAGTTCAACAAATAGATGAATCGACGAATGAAAAAGTTAGGGACCCTTCCTACGGTATTTTCAGATGAAAATTTTTCAAAATAGAACAAGAAATAGAAATTGTCAAGAATAAGGCTTCCATTCGGCCGGAAAATTTAGCCGACCGACCGACCACCGACCCCGCCGACCGACAGCCGACCGAACTGACCGATCGGTCGGCGCGCCGACCGTTTTTGTGCATTTGCGCGTCAACGTGTTTGCATACGCTGCATTGTATTTTACGACAAACTACTCACTAAAAGCCTCGTTTGTCGTAAAATAAAGTGCTTCGTACGCAAAAATTCGTGTTTTTATGCGCAAAGGCACGAAATCGGTCGGCGCGCCGACAGAATTTTTCGATTCGTATTGAAATCGATATAATTGAGAAACCCAAAAAAGGGAATGAAACCAAAAATTATTTTTTGTGAAGGTTCTAGATGTTCACTAGCTCCTTTTATATTTCACAAGCTAGACATACAGAATCCCCATGTGCAGAATTGAAACATTAATTTTACATCTTGTTATTCAATTTGATAATCAGACAACTGGTGATTATTGCTCAACATAAAATTAACCGAGTAATGAGCAAGCCACAGATCAAAGGCAAGAATTAAGTGTTTACTGAAATTCAGTTAACTGTGCAAAAAGCTTAAAAAACTCGAATTAAAATTCTTTGAAAACTTCAAAATTTGGAACATAACAAAATTATTGTTTCAGAAAGTAAACAAGTTGTGCAGTTCCCCTTTTTTTCCGGTGCACGTTCGGAATCTTCTCCTTACTAAAGGAATAGTTCTGTTTGTGTGTCCGTCCGTCCGGCGTTGTCCCTTGTATAACTTTTTTTTCTTACTGGACCACCCGAGCGCTTCAATTTCGTATATTAAAATGGTGAGATTACTGTACGATTACGGTAGCTACAGTAACCGAAAAATTCTAAAATTGCCGATACTGGACCAACTGAGCCCAGACTTTCGTCGAAGAACCCTTAGGACACCTAGAGTTAGCCTGTGAAATTTCAGAATTTTTTGTACAGAATGACCGTAGATACCGTACTGTGAAAGTTCATACTCTAGAAAATTCTAGAAGAATCAAGAAAGTTCCTAGAATGTTTCTGAACGGCATCTCGAAATCGGAACGCAATTTTGGCGGGAATTCGAAAAAAAAATATTTTGACCGGAATTGGAAAAAATATTTTGGCGCGACATCAAAAAATATTATGTTTTTCGTTGAAGAGCGGAGAAAAAGGACGCGCGAGATTAAAGGCGCACACACTTTCCAGGCGCCGCGGGTCTCGAAGCGATCATGCCCGAACGGGCATGAAACTCGAATTTCGAAATCATTCTACGTGTTTTAACGAGGTCGTGTGTGTTTTTTGTCGATTTTTTTGGATTTTTTTTTTGAATTTTTCTGTTGAATTCGTGTAGAAAACGGTCATTTTGGCTGTTTTCAATTGTCGTATTTATCTTCGTAGCTAAAAATTCAGGAATGGCGGAATCTGTCGATAAAGATGCTCTGAAGCAATTCGGTGAAGAAATTTTGGGCAAGATGGCAGAGATTGTGAAGGAAATCGGAGCTGAAAAGAAGAAAAAGGAGAGAGAGGCAGAGGATGAGAAGCCACCGAAAGTTTCGTCGAAAGGCATTCAGAAAAACTTGGATTTCAATTTCAAAATCCGAAATATTTTGACGAAGGCGACAGCCAACGGAGAGTTGGAGGAGGCAGTTAAGGAAGTTCAAGACTTACTGAAGGCAAGAAACGGAGAGCTGCTGCTTCTGGATTCCGATCCAAGTCTTCTGCAGACGAAGGATAAGTTAGACGCCTTGAAGGCCATCGCTGGAGTCGATTCTGAAAGCTCGACGACGCAATCTGACATGACTTCAATCCTTCTCCTCTCTAATCTTGCCGGCAATAACGGAAACAGAAGTGGAGGATTCCACGGAGAAAGCAAAAGACGTAGGGCAGAGCCGTACGCGCAGAGACAACCGTGGTTTCGACATGAGAGCACTTTCCGAGGCCAGGGAAGTGCTCGGCAATACGGAGGCCAGGGATTGGAGGCAGAGGTGGAAAAGGAGGAGTCAAGTGCTTCAAGTGCTCCCAGTATGGTCACTATGCCACAGAATGTGAACAAAGAAGGTATGAGTTTTCCGGACAGACTGTCAGCAGCTATTGATTTTTGGAAGAAAATCTGTGACGTAGAATGGATACTAAGTGTGATTGAAGATGGTTTTAAGATTCAATTAAACTCAAATGTAGTGCTACCAAAGCCTCAGGGCTTGAGACCGTCAGTGATACGGCACAAAGAATTTTTGGTTGCAGAAATTGAGAGGCTCGAGGCAGAGGGCGTTTTGACGCGATCGGACCACCAACCACGATGTGTGTCTCCGCTGCATGTTGTAGAGCAAGGTAAGAAAAAGAGAATGATTCTCGATTTGAGTGAGTTGAACGAGAGCCTCGTTCCTCCTCGGTTTAAGCTAGAAAACCTCAAGACTGCCTGGCCATTTTTAGAAGACGCGCACTATGCGGCCACATTTGATTTTAAATCAGGCTATCATCATATTAAAATACACGAAGAATCTCAAGATCTTTTGAGCTTTACGCTGACAAATCCCCCTACTGCTCCTTATTTTTCGTTTAGAGGTTTGCCGTTCGGGTTGTCGACAGCTCCTTGGCTGTTTACTAAAATCTTCAAAGTTTTAGTTCTAAAATGGCGGGCAGAGGGGATAAAAATCTTTCTATATCTGGATGATGGATTAATTGTGGGCAAGACGGAGAGAGAGGTCGCGAGGGCAGTGAGAAAGGTGAGAGAGGATTTGAACAGTGCCGGAGTGTGCGTGGCAGAAGAGAAATCGTTCTGGGTGCCAGACGCAAAGTTTACGTGGCTCGGTTATGAGTGCGACCTGGTCGCGAGAGAGGTTCGTGGAACCGAGAAGAGAATGGCCAAGTGGCAGGTTGCTCTTGAGGAGCTGAGGAGGAGCGCGGCTCCAACGGTCCTGGACCGTATGAAGTTTTTGGGATGCCTGGCATCATTTGAGCTTGTTGCAGGAGACGTTGGTGTTGGCAGAGCACGGTCGATCATGCAGACGGTTGGAGAGAGTCAGAGGAAGAAGAGTGAGCCGGCAACAGTGAAGAAGAAGAAAACTCCAGGTGAGGAGAGAGAAATTGAGTTTTGGAGAGAGCGAGGCACAGAATTATTGAAGAGAAGCATAGTGGAAATTGAGCCAGAATTTGATTTATTTTTGTACACTGATGCTTCGGCGCGAGGAATAGGAGCGGTGCTTAAGAATGAGAGAGATGATGTTTTGTGGAAAATGTCGGAATTAGGCGATAGCGACTTTGAAGGACAGTCTAGCGCTTGGAGAGAAGTGACGGCAGTGAAGAGAGCGGCAGAGGAGCTAGTTGGGAAGGTTAATGGAAATATACAAGTACTTGTGGACAGTCAGGCCGCTGTGAGTGTGTTGAGAAGAGGTTCTATGAAGCCAGAGTTGCATAAGTTAGCTGAAAAGGTGTGGGAAGACTTGAGTAGAGTAGGAGAAAGCCAATTTTTGTGGATTCCAAGAGAACAGAACGTGGACGCGGACGAAGCGAGCAGAAATTTTGATTTTGATGACTGGGGAGTGGCAGACAGAGTTTTCAGACAGGCGCAGAAGTTGTGGGGAGAGATAAAAGTTGATTGGTTCGCTGATGCGAATAACAGAAAGACAGAGGTATATTTTTCTAGATATCCCGAGTTCGGAACGTCTGGCGTCAACGTCTTCGACCACATCGAGAGGGCAGAGAGGATGGGATGTGCTTGGTGGGTGCCACCTCCAATGCTGATACCGCACTTGTTGAAAATTGGTAGAAAAAGAAGGCTGAGGGGCGTTTTAGTAGCTCCATTGTGGCGGAGTCACGCGTCATATCAGGCCCTTGTTGATCATTCGGGAAGATTCATTAGAGCTATTAAAGATTACATTATTTATCAGAAGAATGACAACATTTTTATTCCGGGTGAAGGCTCCAAACATTGTGAAGCCACAAATTCTAAATACTGTAGATCTGAGTTCATTTTAGCGCTAGTTGACTTCTCTCGATAGGCCCCAGGCTTTGTACATTTTTCTACCTTATTATTACCACGTTAAACCTAAATTTAATAAACATGTGACATAAAATTCCTTTTTCGTAGTGATGAAACAGAAAAACATATTCTCTTGTAACGTAGAGGAAAGAGAATATTATGTTTTTCGTTGAAGAGCGGAGAAAAAGGACGCGCGAGATTAAAGGCGCACACACTTTCCAGGCGCCGCGGGTCTCGAAGCGATCATGCCCGAACGGGCATGAAACTCGAATTTCGAAATCATTCTACGTGTTTTAACGAGTCACCCAGCCCACCCACCCGGGGAAAAGAGAAAAAGAGAAAAAGAGAGAAATGAGAGGGAAAAGAGATTAACTATAATTTTCAGAAGGAGCCAAAAGACAGTTCGTCGAGGAACTCAAGCAGAAGGCAGGAGAAGGGTTTGAACACCACATCGAGAGACTCAAGAGGATTCCGTTCGAAGCCAAAGCTACGTCCACGGCTGCCGCTTACAAGGCAGAGAACGACAAGAGAACGCTCGAAGGAAGACGTTCATTTTTCAACTACGAGCCAGGCAGCGATGCGGTCATCTTGATGTGCCGATGGAGACTTCGAACCAAAGGAAAGTGTCCATACGTATTTTCACACCTGGACGGTTCGAAGAAGCTCTCGAAACAAGCCATTTCGACGCTCTCGACGAAGATGCTGGCAGCGATCGGGAAGCCGGGAGCGACTCATCACTGACTTCAGCGGTGTCTCACTGATGTTCCAACAGCTCAAGGATGTCTACAGTCCCAGGCAGAGTTCGACGACGAGGACGACGAAGATTAATAATCCTGTAATATTTATAGGTCTAAATTGTTTTACTAGCTGTTTGTTGTGTTATACTAACTCCTCATAGATTATCATGTTCTATCAAATCTCAATTTTCGTTTGATCTCCCAAACATTTTCTCCCGATCTCCTATACCGTTTTCTCCCCGAATTCAAATTATTGATTTTATTGTAATATTTCTTGATTCCTTCCCGAGTGTGTGTGAGTTGCCACACTCGGTTGTATGTGTCTGTATCCTTTACACGACCTTATTATTACCACGTTAAACCCTTATTATTACCACGTAAACCTAAATTTAATAAACATGTGACATAAAATTCCTTTTTCGTAGTGATGAAACAGAAAAACATATTCTCTTGTAACGTAGAGGAAAGAGAATAATTTTTCAGGACATTCTAGGACTACCTAAAATACCTCTTTCACGCTCATCTTATTTGTATTCCTGCTGCTTATAACTCTTTTGAGTCTCATAGTTCTATAAGCTTTTCCGTTTTTTTGTTGTTAAAATTCAATTATTTAACTAATAAAAACAAGTACAAATTTGATTCTCCAATAACCCCTCAACCTTTTAGGATGAACCAGAAGTGAATACCAGTGGGAATTCGCGGCGTAGTCGCAAAATTTCAGCTGGTGTAAAACTATTTTTCCAGGGCTTCAAAGTTGGTCAATTTTAAAGGGGGACTCCGACCAAAAATTTTCACTGCCTTAAAATGTTTCAAAAAATATGTATTTTCCAAATATCATTGCGAAAAAATTCAAAAAGAATCCTAAATCCCCGAAAAACGGCGTTGAAAAAAATAGATTTTG